CATTTAGAGTCATTAAAGAAATAAACCCAGTACCTAAATAAATACAGCAAGTAAAGATCGTTTGAGCATGTCATTCAGAAACAGTTTTGCTAAAAATTGATTGTTCATGGTGAAACATGTGGTAACAAGGAGATAAAGCATGGCTGAGGGAAAGGTCAGGAAAAAGGACTAAAAGCATTCCTTCTTTCACAAAATTTCCGGGGGCCTGCAAAGCAGGGCAAATTAACCTCTACTGCAATAATTCCAACGCAAAACTGTTTTCAGATTAAGGATTTGCATCCAGCCAATCATAAAGCTCACCATACTGAGAGGGATTTTAGAAAGCAAGATTTTTTTAAAAAATCAATGGAGATAAGCTGCCACAAGGGAGCACCCAAGAACACAGCAATGTCTGTTCTGCCACAATGACAAGCAGAACAGGCCCCAAAGCAGAGTGAGAGCCACACAGATTCTACGGATGCATTATAGGAAGCCATCAGCCAAGGCTTAATGAGCCATTATGTGCACAAGCAGCCTGCTTGGCACATACTGTCTGACTACTTTGCTTTGCAAAGCAACGGAGCAAAACACCAGAGTGAAAAACCTTCCTGCAACAGAGTAAAAAACAAAACCCACCAGCCAGGGCTTGTTAGCTCACTTTATATCCTGGGTACTTTATTTGCGGTGGTGTTCAAACAGCTGAAATAGCAGAGCGCGTGCGGTGCTACATGGGCAGCGGCAAACAACCCAGATTGTTGCACGAGCAGAACGGCCCGTCGAGGCAAGAGTGCGGCTGCACTACAAGGGCCACCATCGCCTAGAGCGAGGATGCGAAGCCCCTGGCCCAGCCTGCATGGATGCCCCTGGAAAAACACCTGCTGTTCTCGCCAGTCTCGGATCAGACACAGCAGTGTGGATCCAGGCAGCAGGCGGCTGGCATCCCGAGGGAGGCCGTTCTTCCCAGCACGAGCGGAGTCCTCGGGCTCAGCCCATCCTGCACAGGGTCAGGGGCCTGGCGAGAGATGCGGCCCCTTCCGATACCAGCCGAGTCCCTTTCTCCACGCCGGGAGAGACACAAAGCTCCAGAATGCTCTCGGCATGGAGAAAGGCAATTCAAGTGGGAGCAAAGCGGTGCATCGCCTGGCCTGCAATTTGCAACCGAATGGTAGCATACGAAGCCCTCTCATGCCAGGAAATATGCCCAGGGATGACGTGGTGCGTGACACAGACTGAACTGGGAAACACCTTCAGGCTACTGTTCGCTACTTCTGGTCTCCATGGGATTGGCTGCATCCATGTGCCTCCACATGTTTGGTAGTCTGCCATTAAGGAGTTCTAGCGCACGTCCCTTGCGCGCGCACCATTGCGTCTGCCCTCCCTTACTCTGTGTAAATGGGCTGAACAGGGTCCCCCTCCCCCTCAGAAGGTAGAAAGCTGCAAGGCTCAGCATCGAGCAGAGACCCAAGCCGGGGTCAGAGCACAGCCACACCTACAGTGCTGCCGGCAGATCAGCAGGAGAGAAGGCTTCTCCTGCGAAGCTCGCTCAGCCATGGCTGTGCCATCTCTGAGCTGGAGATGAGGGTTTGACCTGCAATCCAGCAAAATCATCCAAATAAGCATCCAATTTATAAGCGACTTCCGGTTCAGTGCAAAACGGGCAGCACTGATGCTGCCTGGGGAGGAAAGAACATCTCAGCTTGCGGAGATGAGGAAGCAGCAGCAGCAGGAAGTCTTATTGGAAGCAACGGGAAACACAAGCTGGTGGCAACCCAGTGACCCTCCCCTCAAGCAGGCGGCTTCTGGTTGCATAATGTTCACACCCATTAAGCCCAAGCAGCCAGATGAAAAGCTGTGAAACCAGAGGGTTGGTAGGCAGGATTAATTAGAAAGATCAAACAGCCTCCATAAAAGGGCAAGATAGCACCTCATCGAAGGGCAGACCCCTCCCCGTGGCTTCCAGGGACGGAGATGCCGCAGGCTTGCCTCTGGGTTTAATACTGAGAACGCTACACTTATTCCATGAAAATCAGCAGGAATTAATCACTGACTCAGAGAGCTGGAAAAATCCTGGAGTGAACTGCTTACTTATTTTTAGTGCTAAATGTAGGCAAAACATCCATAATCTAAAGAAGATTATGAAACTCTTTAATCCATGTCATGATGTTGCTCCCCTTTAAAGTGGTTTGGAACGAAGGCTGCCTGAACCAGAGCCTCAGCGATCAGCTCCGAACAATGGCGAGGGCTGCATAGGTCTGGGTCAGGCGGACTGAATTTCTATTCAGAAAGGAGGATTCAGTGGGGGTCCTGGGAACAGCTAAGGGGCAAGAAGCCGTCTCTCAAGCGGCAACCGAACTGCATTCAGAAGGAACCTGAGCATCTCAGAAGGTGAAAGAGCAGGAAAGGGGGAGGCAGCTGGGTAGAACAGGGGGTTAAAACATGCCTGACGGGGGCCCAGAACAGTGGGAGAGCAGCGAGCGGCATCAGAGAAGGCAAAGATTCAGGAAGGGAGGTGGGAAAACGGGTAGCAAATTTTAAGAAAGCTTTAAAAAGCAACTTCTAGTTTTGGATGCCAAAACAAAAATTAAATTCCAGTCCTGTAGCTCAAAGGGAAGGACTTATAAAAGTCAATCATACCATTCTGTCGACCTACTTTGAATGTTACTATTTTCATGCATGCAGGTGCACTCTCAAAAATTAAACAAAAAAGGCCTGGAAAATGGCCTCAATAGATCTTCACCTTGAAGTTTGTTTTTGATCTTGATTTTGTTTTGATTTTCGTTCATTTGTGAATTGTTATTGGTTTTGTGTGTATATTTAATTATTGCTACTTGTTAAATTATCTGTTTTTGATTTTTGTAAGCCGCCCTGAGATGCTTTTGTGTGTAGGGCGGGGTATAAATATTTTAAATAAAATAAATAATAAATAAGTTCTCTCTCTCTCCTTTTTGAGGATAGCAGACCCTAAAAAGAATACCACCTCCCTTTTACCAGCTAAGTGTGGTATTCCAGAAAACCTTCCTTCATTCCAAGTACATCCCCTCCCCCGTTCCCCCTATTATTACTTCCCACTACTGGCAGTACTGCTTTCAGAACAACACTAAAATCATTTTACAATTATTCTACCAATAAACATGTCACCGGGAATTTTGCTTTCTGAAACCAGTAAAAGTGCTTTCCTGCTAAGGTCCCCAAAGTGGTAGAAGAATGTGCTGAAAAATTACAACTCATAGAGGAAAAAATTACCAGTGTGCTTCAACAAGCAACAACCTTGCAGTATAACTTTTCCCTATTTCAAAAAGTCCAACAAGGTGATCTGAGAAAAAGGTTATCTGAGGAGCAGCACAAAGTTTTAAAGTATTTCATCAGGTGGAATATTAAATGCTCTGTACTTTATAGCCACTTGCTTAACACTGTGCAGACTCCAGATGCATCCCAGAACTTCTCCCAAACAGTCTGCACCTCACATGGTCCCCTAAAGAGAATCCATGCTCATTTGGGAGCTTTTATAAAAATCTGTTCATAGAAATTATTTATTTTCCATTTCACTACCTAGAATTCCACACGTACACGCAACCTCAATACTGCGGCACAACAGCTGTGGAATGGCAAGCGGCAGTGCATCTCACCGCGCCTTCCAATCATGAACGAGGAAACGAAACCACCGGCGTGGCATGGTCCAGTCTCCAGCCCTGGCCTTTTCAACGAGCCACAGAAACATTTCCTGGCCCGTACCAGACTATGATTTTATGATCATTATTACATTTTCTTTTTTTTAAGCAGCCAGGCTGTCATGCTGCAAAGCAAAGTACACGATCTCGTTCTGGGCTGGTTTAGAGGTTTGGAGCTCAGACTTCGCTCCTGCCTGATTCTTCAGCAAGTTGTTTTTTTAAAGTCTTACCACCTTGTTTTAGTCTGTCGGAGATTCGTTTTGTGACCCGCCAAGCCCACTGTGGCAGCAATCTCATGACTGGGCGAGCCCCCACCCCTTGCTGGTATTCCCAAAATTCCAAATGTCCTCATAGATCCCAAAGGGCTGGAGAGCCTCTTCTGATGCTCAGCCGCTTCACACCAGCCTCACCACACCAGAAGGCACAGGTGGCCGATCAAGCCAAGAGCGGCTCTCATGCCGTAGCCTGTCAGGTGCCAGGTAACGTCCCTATTTTGCAGTTTCAGGCCAACAGCATGAGCAGGTTGTTTATGGAGCCTCAGCTGGGTCACCCACCACACTGCAGGTGCGCAGCAGGCAATGTCTGGCAGGACACGAGCTCTTCCCCAGCTGATTCCATTCCATCAGAAACAAAACACTCATTGTACAAGATGGCTTTATCCCACACCCTTGAAGTGTGTTAAGATGTGTAACACTCAGCAAGTTGAAGCCGGTGTCAAAGAAAACCAATACTCCAAGTAAATTTGCAAGTCTGCGAAGATCTTTTCATTCCATCTCGGTCAAATGTAACACTAGCATCGTTCTCACTCAACAGGGAGAAGACCTTTATGCCACTCCGGGATTGTGCATGTGTATCAGAGGGAATAATAGCTACAGATTTCATTCAGTGGAAACGTACAGATCACAGATTTGTCAAGAAGTGAGGGCCCAGCCGCTTTTAAGCGTGGAAGGGCTGCTTCTGACCTCCTTTGCATTTAACTCACAGCTGTGTGAAAAACCTGCTTGCTGTGTTGATTCATGTCAACCTATCCAAACGAGACAGGCAGGCAGGACCCCTCGCTCTGGCTGGAGAACCTTAACCAGCCCTGCATAACGAAAGCATGCAAGTTCAGCACACACACACTAATTTTAGAGTCTCACTCTCAAGAACTTTTAATATCCAAGACTAATGCTCACTGATTTTAATTAATTCCGTACTTCCACATAGTTCCTTCAGAAAACTGCTAAGCACTTCTTCCCGGAACCCATTTTTCCAGCACATTCCTCTCCCATCTGGGTGGCTTTTGCAGCAGAACAGAAACCAACATGCTGACCAAGATCCTTTCCGTGCAGGTGCACCAAGGATCAACTCTACCTGACTGGCTGTTCCTCATTCGAATGGCTTTGGCCTTCGCCAGCTCCAGGGCAGTGACCCAGCGCTGCCGCTCCACTTCTGAGGCAGCTTTCAGATGGTATGTCCTCCCGCCATTGGAAAGGACAATATTACAGGAGTTCTCTGTATCAATGTGAGCCGTTGAAAGGTTGATCGTTCCCCGACAGGTGTGAGCCATTTCAGCTTGAGTCCTGCAAGAATGGAAAGGGGATATGAAGACTTTGGACCGCACATGGTTACGTGGTCAGTATTAACAAGAAATGCCCCCCAAGTCGAATTTCATGAGGCACTCAAGCCAGGATTCTAGCCCAATTATGGGGGGAAATGCCCGTCCCCCAGCAGGTCTAAGAAACACGGCTGCAGTAATGTCACAGAATGCCGGCATCACCTTCACTGTGGAACCCGAGGTGTTCGTATTAGAGATTCGTCGTGTAAAAAAAAAACCCAGAGCAGTCTGTGCTCTTGTGACTGCAGGCAAGAAGCTAAGCATAGGTGGAAAATATGCCTGTGATCTACACCAATACTGCTGAGTTGCCATATTCGGAGCCTAAGGAGGCACTCATCAGCGTGGGGACGTATTCTTGCTTTGCATGGCAATTCTTTCTTTGCTTATTTTGCTCCGAATGAAGGGGCACATTGGACACGACAAATAAAAGGAAAATAGTCCTGACAACACTCTACAGTTGCTGTGTAGCAAGAGTTCAGAGCTACTATTGAGCTGCATCCAGCAATTTCTCAAGAATCTTCTTGTACAAGCAAGTTCAGGTATTTTCATTTAGTTTTACCTTTCGCATTTAGCAATGCAACCCGCTGCCACAGAAGCCCTTCCATGAGCAGACCACACTTTCCCCACCAGGCAGAAGGGAACATTTAGATCCACCACCCAAGTATATGAAATGGTTTTCCCCACCCCTCTCTTTAACATACCTGGAATGCAAGAAATATGGTGACAGGAACAGCAGAGTAAAACAATGAAAGGAATGTGGGATGGAGATTTTTAGTTGATTTGCTTCCCTCACTCTCTACAAAGCTGCAATGCTGTGGTAGTATTTGAAAGCATTAGAAGTCTACTTCTAAATGAAGTGGCAGATTTTATACAGGAGAAATTGCAGAACCACGCAGCTGATGGCAAAGTTTTATGTATCATTTCACTGGAGCTACAAATGCCCTGATCTTTTACTTCCATAAAAATAGAGCTGATTATCGTAGCATACTGCCTAAAATTAGTATAGCCTTAATTGGCAAGATGAAACTTGCCCTCTCAGCACAGACTATCACCAGTTATGGATTTATTCTTTATGGAATCCTGATAAAGAGTCACCACTGAATGCAACCATTTGCATGAAACTGTATATTTCCAAGTCTTGAAAGGCAAAACTGCAGTACTGGGAGAGGATGCTTTTAGTGTCGACTACTGGGGATGCAAGACTACCGGGGAACAAAGGAGAGTTTGGGAAACCCATTGGCTCTGCCCGTATGTAATGAGGGTCCATGGGTTAAAAACTGATGGGCAGACAGGGATAAGTGCAAGAGAACAAGCACAAACTCTGGTCTAACTGCTGGGTGGCTGAGCCCCTACGCGAGGCACTGACTGGTTCAGACATCATGCTGAACAACTTACGAAGGAGACAAGTGAAGTGGCGAGTGCAGGAGGCACGGACCTCACGCTCTTCTGCTCATGGGTGCCAACTGATGGCTTGCTTGAAGTGCTGGACTGTCACCACACGAGAATCAGAGCGCTAATCTGGCCTGCATGTAACAATTACCCATGGGTTACTTTGGAAATTATGCACTGTTGGATTAAAACTCTGGCCGGTTCCTGTTCCAGTCTGGAGTTCCACACCGCACACTTCAGGAACAACTCAGGAATGAGATGAGCCTGGACTGCTTGGCAAAGTGGAAGGGGGCAGACGGCCAAGCAGCAGCAGGTTTCTCACTCCCGAGTGATCACGGCTACCCATGGTTACAACAGCCCATGGGTAAGGTTTGCATCAGAACCAGTCCCCCAAGGAGTCACCTTGCTTTAGTTCCTTCTAAAATATTTAACTGTCCTGCGTGCACTTACAAAGCGCATCCTAGGAAATCTATGCCTAGGAAAAAATAGAGCTCTCCAAGATTCAACCATCTATACATCTGGTATATACAAAGGTAGCAGCTGTTTGCCTGGCTGCATTCCCAAAGACTCAAAAATAACGAAGCATTTTCTTTAAGTTTTCCATGAAGTATTTCCCAACAATATTAAATTTGAAAAGCAGAAGTCAAACACACAGTGGATATTTTGAAATTTCTAAACATACAAAAACAGTGACCTTGCAAACAAAGTTATTTTTTTCTACACAATCTATCTTGTTATCATTAGAATCATCATTTGTAAAGCACCTAAAATGTTCTTGGTGCTGTGCAGATTTAGAAAATAAACCAGCCCCTGCCCACAGACTCACACTGCAAGAGACACAGCAAAAAGAATGAGTAGGGAAGGAAAAGAAAAATAGATCTGGTGCCAAACAGAAGAGTTAGGCAAAGTTGCGCAACTGCTGTTTGTGTGACCCGCTAGAATAACGGCTGATGGAAACCGGTCCTGGCTCATGCACAGCTGGAGTCAGCCAGCACACGACCAGGGCTTCCTACCGATCACAGTACAGTCGTAGAAGGAAGCAGCACCTGGGGATGCAGCCGCCGCCGCCAAGGTAATGATATGCCTTTCCGCCTAGCTGCGGGTTCGGGGGGATGCCTGACCCACTCCACACCAGGACATCCTACTGGAAGGCACCACGTCCTGCTCTCACTTGTTGCCATTGTTTATGTTTCCATGACACCCACCATTCTGTACTTGGTGGGCTACCAGGATTATAAAGCACTCCATACTGCCATGGCGGCAAGCAATTTATTTTTCATTTTATTTAAGCAGACATGGAGTATTCTCAACTGCAGGCTCCAAGAGAGTTTTTCAGTTAATTTTTTAAAAAATGCTCAGCTGTAGGGAAAAGTGAAAAAATACCTGTCTTGTTTAGTTTGTCTCTAACATATAAGCTCCACATATGAAATACTCCACCCAGTGTTTCTGAGCACTACATTTTAAGAGGGGTACTAACAAATGCTCCAAAGAACAGCGACCAGAAGGCTAAGAAGTCTGGAAACCAAGTCCTACAAAGAATGGTTGAGAGGGTTTAGCATAACCAAGGGGCGATTAAGGAGAGGCAAGATAGCTGTTGCTGCCCATCCTTATTCACAAGGACAATTCAACGTCCATCTATGCAAACGGAACAGGTTTAAGGTTCAGTTGGAGGTGCGGTGCACAAACAACACATCTGTGTACTGCACTCTTACGAGGAGCAGTTACTGCTCAAACACGAGCTGAGATGTGCATGCAAATTCCAAAACCATGAACTTTGTTTTTATGGCTTTGTTTTTAAAAACGCACGTATACGCATTCATTACAGTGGAGAAAACTGGCTTGGCATATTTGCAGTAAAGGTGATTTCACCCGAACATTAGCAAAAGCGCCATAATGCTGAGAGCCCGTCGGCAGAGAAACAACATGCTTCAGGAGGTGGTGGGCTCTCCTTCACTGGAAGCATTTGGGTCGAGGTTCAGTGCTCGCCCACCAGGGATGCTGTGGCTGCATCTTGCCTGCAGAGTCCGCATGAAGCTGCGGGCTGACCAAGATCCCATCCAGCTTTTGTAGAGCGGCTGTTTTCATTTATTTTAATGTGTTGATTTTATGACGCTCTTACTATTTCATCATAAGCAGCCCCAGCAATATATTTAAGAGAGTCAGATCTGGTGGAATAAACAGAACGGCACAGCTCCCAATTTCCCCACAAATCTCAGCACTTAGCAAGCTGGGCAAGTCTAGCCTAAGTCATGCCTTGAGAAGCAATCGTCTGAAGATCACTTTTGAGCCGATGCACTTTCCCACAGATTAACTCCACCAGCCATTACCATTCTGTCAACAAGCCAAGCCATCTGCACTGAATTTCAGTGCATGCTAACATCTCAAGAAAGCAGCTCTTATAAAAGCAACATTTTTTGAAAGGTGAGTGACCTTCCTAACGATTGCATGGAAAGTAATTTTGCCTACATTCAAGCAGACGCACGCTGAGGACTCCCACACATGCAGCAAACGCTTCATCCACCCTTCAGCAGCAAATCCCCGATATCTGGCCAGTCTTCCTATTCAGCACAAGCATCTCAGTGGTTGCATAACAAACAGGCATGGCAGTTTTCCAGTCTCCTTTCTGAGATAATCCTAGAGATGTGTGGGAAAAGTCAAGTACTGTCCTGGATTCACACACACACTAGAAAATAATGACAGGGCTGTGTGCCCCCCCCCCCCCCCCCGTCGCCACCACATTGGCTGGGACTAACAAACAAAGTGGAATTGGTATGGGGATGCCTAGACAGAATTAAGTGGATGTTTCTGGAGTGCTGTTTTACAAAGCAAGTGTTTACATGATCCTCACATAATATGCATAATGCTTTACTACTGGTTATTAAGTAGAAGAATACAAGCTTCCCTCAAGTATTCCAATTATATTAGAGCTGAGATTCCAAGAAACGAGGTCCAGTGGAGGGTCACCTTCATCGTGAAGCAGAATCATGAATCTGGAGCAGACTGTCATGACCAGAAGCATGCACTCAGCCGAAAAGGGAGCTTTTCCAGATTGCCTTACAACTGCGCCCATGAAACCAGCAAGAGGGGAGGAGACAGTGGACCTAACTGGTTTCTGGGACCTGCTGTGAGATGCGGTTGCGGAACCAACTGGAAACAGTGACTATTATGCCATTAAATTCAACGAATGCATTAGATGAACAATAACCGATGTCTGGCACATGCACAAAAGAGGAAATTTCACAAAAATGAGGGGATTATTCAAGGGGAAGTTGAAAGCGAGAAGCACACAAGCCCACTCTGTCCGGAAAGCCCGGGTAACGGAGCACAACAGATGCTCCGCTAAAGAGACCAGCAAGTTCAAGAGGCTGACAGCACTCGGAACAGGTAGTAGGGAGGTAGTAGGGAACAGGTAGCAGGGAATGGGAAAACCCTGTTGCCTTGCCTAATTTGAAGGGCAGTAAAATGTGAGGAGCAATTCTGGAACTAAGGCCCATTCAGAGATGCTTAAAATCGCCTTCTGAACACATACAAAACTACCCCCTGAATACAAAAACAACAAACCCTTTAAAAAGGAGA